ATAAATTGCACACCTCAATGACAACACGCATTCCAGAACGATCACTTTCATCCCTAATATCGCTTATTCCTTCTAAACTCTGTAGAAAAAAGGAAAAAAGTATAAAGAAAAGGGGAAAAAGAAAAGAACTAAAACGAGATAAGAATTAACAACAATGTATGACCTTATTACTTTAATAATTTCATGTGAGTGATACAGCAGTTAGAAGTGCAATGCATCAACACAAAAATGGTGACAAATTTGGAACAAAGAGATAATACGTGTAACTAGAGAATTCTTGGGAAGATGATAAACAGAGACAATCAGTATTATTATATGAGGTCAACATGATATCAACAAAATAACTTAGATGAATATAACGGTACTTATTGGATTTAATATAGTCACATATTAAATAAGAATTATAATACTAACAAATGAATTTGGACCCTAAACACTGGAACCTTTCAGATTACAATCAAATAACATATATAAAAACCAATCACAAAACTACTTTTTAAAGAAAAATTACAATCCAGCACTTTTAAAGGATCATTTGCTACTTGCAAGAATGTCACCTTATTTTCCACAAGTTCGGCTATCTTCTCCACGAGGGCTGATTTGTTGGTTTGGTAAGGGATCTGACTCATTCACAAAGTATAAAATCACTATAAAAAATAAACTCATTCATGAGAATCTAAGACTACATGCATATTTAATGCAAACCGGACAAGAAGACCAAGGCAAACCTCCTTTATGATACTTGCACTTCTCTTTGTTCTAGAATCAAGCAATTCAACATCAGTTTTCCCTCTGACCACAATGCGTCCTTTCCCAGTTCGATATGCCTCCAAGATGCTTCACAAAATGAACATTTATCCAAAAATTATTGATTCCACAAACATGAATGTCCATGAATGTTCTTACCCATATGCACAAGAACAAACACATATATAAGGAAGATGCCGCCAGCGTAAGCAAAAGGGATAATTCTGCCACTATGGCAATCCTTTATTACTCTAATCATTTGTATTATATTACATCTTCAATTACACTAGTATATACTATTTTACTCTATCTTCACCTTAAGCTCAAGTTTCTTGACAATTTTACTTATTCAGAAAAATGAAACAAAACTGTTTGTGCGAACATAGTAGTATACCCCATGAATTTAGCAGCAAGTATGCAACATAAGACATATCACCACTGCCCATCATCACATTCAATTTGAAGGCATCCCTTTAGTACAACCTATTCAAACGTTATACAGAAACTGGTAAAAACCAAGGAAAGAACTACTACAAGGAGGAGGTTATCCCTTTTTCGTCCAAGCTTACTAGAATGAACCATGCTTCAGATAGCGAATGAATGGTTCCAACTTACCCAAGGTTTCCCATAATCAGTTCTCCAGTTGGAAAATCAGGCCCTGGCACGTATTCCAGTAATTCTTGCAACTGTCACAGGGAAAACCAAATGTCAAATACTCGAAAGGGAAAACGAAATGGAAAATAAAGAAAACACAAAAACAAAAATGGGTCGATAGAAAGCAAATTTCTTTTTAGTTAACTTAAAGGGTTCAAATTATGCCCAATAGTTCTAACTTCTGTGGAGAACAGTGATGGCAATGGTAAAGTCATACTTAAACATAACTGTATAGCCAATAATTGAGATTCTTTAATATCAAAGTTTCAAATCATCTTAACAGATAACTCAACTACAGGAGCAACACGAAATTTCTCAAAGACTAACCACTTCCAAAAAAGTTATTCAGCACCGCTACATGCAAAAAGGAATTCTCTGATTGGCTTTAAAGGAATTTACGGAAGATAATTGTATATGATGCTACATTAAAGACTTGTAACTGATGCCTAAACATATTTGGTTGCCATTAAACCCATATTGTTAATACTAATCATGGATACACTGTTTTATGAAGTTTCTATGTAAAATTGATGCACAATTGATTAGTTTTGTATTTCCTAAAGTGTCATTCAAAAATTCCATTCTTTTTTAGAAAATTTTGTCATTTTCATTAATTTAAATATTTCCAGCAATATTTTCAGTGACATCACGATTTTCATCCTTGGATATAACAAAGGGAATGATACACTAGATTCATTTCAACTATCTTATAAGTTGATAGAAAAGAAGCAATTTTTCCACATAGACAAAGACTCAAGTTTACGTCAAAGTCTCTTCCCCAACAATATGTTGTGATAGTTCAGTGAGGGATACATAATGCTGTCTTTTCTCCAAGTTAGTACATAATGTGTAAAATGTAAGGATAGGATGAAGATCATTGTTTGTCCATAGTCAGGTAGCTTTAAACTTGTGGTGTTTACTATTCAAGGAGGCTGGAGTCAGTTGGGTAATTCCACAAGGGTACCCTTCATTAATTAGTGAAAGTCTTGCTGCTTTTGGTAGAGGAAATAAGGCTCGGGTCGTATAGGGTTGTTGCAAGATGGCTGTTTTGTGGGTGATCTGGATGAAGAGGAATGAGGGGATGGGGATAGAAGAGCTGTGGGAGAGGGTGATGTTTTTGTCGTCCCTTTGGGCTTCACTTACATCAGATTTCGGGGATCTTTTCCTTTCTATTTTGCTAAATTGGGAGTCATCTATAGGATAATGTGGTTTTGTAGGTTTCGTTGTTTTTGTGGTAATCATTTGTAGTTTGTTTTTGGTGGACTCCTTGTTCATTATCCCTTGTCTATGTTAGATTATCTTTTAATAAAATTTGTTTCTTTTCAACCCAAAAAAAAAAAAGGAGACAGTCCTTTGAAGGATACAGCACGTTGTTGTAATTATTATCAACACCCATAATAAAGTACAGCAGAACTTCAATTTTTAAAAGGAAACTAATTGAAACATACCCTAATTAATATGAAAAATGAAATAAATAAATAAAAGGTCTCGCCACTTACCGTAGCTTCTGGATTGTGAATTAACACACTAAGAACATGTACCAACTCTCCAAAGATTATGCGGAGGAATGTTGGTTGCCATGCTAACCTGAAAATTAATTTAGCAATATGTGAATTGAAGATATACAATTATTGAGGAAGAACAAGAACAAAACACAAGCAGCAGCTTTTGATCATGAAGGACAATGAAACCTAAGAAAAATACCGCAATCCCAGAAGCACCATTCAGTAATAAAGTTGGAAGTCGAGCAGGTAAAACTGATGGCTCTTTTTGTGAATTATCAAAATTCGGAGTAAAATTAACCTGCGCCAAATGAAAAGGAGGGGATGTGAGAGAGAGAGAGAGAGAGAGAGGTTGCCCCGTTTCTGGAATAGCATATAACCTAAAGATCTTAATATTCATCTCGATATCATGATTATTAAGAACCCATACGGTGTTCAAAGTAACTAAAATATCTGAACATACCTCCAATCTGCACTCTGAGTAACTCATGGCAGCTGCAGGATCAGCATCAATCGACCCGAAATTCCCAAGCCCCTGAATTAGTGGGAATCGTAGGGAGAAATCCTGGAAAATTAAGTTTCAAAGCAATCAGGAGACCACGTGAACTAAATAACTAATTATAATGTGATCTAAATCAATATTTACAAAGACAAAAGGTTCAAAAACAAATGGAGTAGAATTCAGAAAGCTGGAATTATTTGATACGAGGATTTTTTTTTCCCGAAAAAGAAGTAATGAAATTTTATTAAAGACATTAAGGGGCATCGCCTAGTATATACAGCAAATAAACATAGAGATAAAACATGTAAAGAGGCAGCAACTGATGGTGCTTGTCCATTCAAAGAATTATCAACATAACGGGAACACAAGATGACATTCCCTAGTTTATTAGGAAATATTCACACCCTTTGCCATAAGGAAATATTTTGTTTCCTTTTCCCTAGTTGATTAGGATTTATCCTTATATTTATGTATGTTAATTTTTAATTCCTAGTAGGATTTGGATCATAATCAAAATTTCCAATTCCTATATAAAGGCCTAGTTTTAGATTGTGCATAAGGGAAGTTGTATCAAAACAAATAAAAAGAACCATGGAAAAAATAGATGATTATGTTGAGTATGTTCCAGTGGCGAAGCGGCGAGCAATGGAAACTCATAAGATTCTTCAACGCAAGGTAAAGTCTTTCGGGCTTGAAGAGAAGTCAGAAGAAGAGTTAAAGCTAGCTGCTCAGGCAAACCCACAGTCTGAAAAATCAAATTTTGTTGCTGAAGACAAACCAAGCAGACCTAGTCTCCTTGTTAAATCATTAGAGATGAAGCATGAGGCTCCCAAGATTACTCCAATCCAACAGATGGTGCAACAGGAGAAAGAGATTATTGACAACTTATCGAATCGCAAAACACTAATGTCAGTTGGTGAATTGGCAAAGGGAATCACTTATACCGACCCTATACCAACAGGTTGGAAGCCACCATTGCATATAAGAAGGATGCCAATGAAGCAATGTGATTTGATTCGAAAGCAGTGGCATATCGAAGTTAGTGGTGAAGATGTTCCACCACCCATTAAGAATTTCAAGGACATGAAATTTCCTGAACCGATTTTGAAGACTCTAAAAGCCAAGGGTATTGTCCAGCCGACCCCTATTCAGGTGCAAGGTCTTCCAGTGATTTTATCCAGGAGGGATATGATTGGTGTTGCATCTACTGGCTCAGGAAAGACATTGGTTTTTGTGCTGCCATTGATTATGATTGCATTGCAAGAGGAAATTAGGATGCCAATTGTTCCTGGTCAAGGGCCTTTTGGATTGATCATTTGCCCATCGAGGGAGCTCGCAAAGCAGATTTATGAAGTGGTGGAAGAGTATCTGGTTCCTATGAGACAGGCTGGATATCCAAAGATAAGGCCTTTGCTCTGTATTGGTGGAGTGGATATGCGTTCGCAATTGGACATTATCAAGGAAGGTGTTCATATAGTTGTTGCTACTCCTGGGAGATTGAAGGACATGCTGGCAAAGAAAAAAATGAATCTCAATAATTGCACATATTTAACTTTGGATGAGGCTGATAGATTGGTAGATTCGGGCTTTGAGGATGACATAAGACACGTTTTTGACCACTTTAAATCTCAAAGACAAACTCTCTTATTTTCAGCCACCATGCCCACAAAAGTTCTCAACTTTGCTAAAAACGCTTTGGTAAAACCCGCCACCGTGAACGTGGGAAGACCTGGAGCTGCAAATTTGGGTGTAATTCAGGAGGTTGAGTATGTGAAGCAAGAGGCCAAGTTTGTTTACCTTCTTGAATGTCTACAAAAGACCGCACCACCTGTTATAATATTCTGTGAAAACAAAGCTGATGTCGATGACATTCATATATATCTTATGATAAAAGGAGTGGATGCAGTGGGCCTTCATGCGGGGATGGATCAGAAAGAGAGAGAGGATGCCATTTCTTCCTTCAAGAAAGAGAAGAAAGATGTCTTGGTTGCCACTGGTGTTGTCTCAAAGGGTTTGGATTTTTCTGGATATTCAACATGTCATCAATTATGACATGCCAACACAGATTGAAGACTATATCCACAGGATTGGACGAACGGGAAGATGTGGCAAGACTGGAATAGCAACAACGTTTATAAACAAAAATCAAAGTGAGACGACACTTCTTGATTTGAAGCACCTCTTGCAAGAGGCAAAACAAAGGATTCCACCCGTGTTGGCTCAGCTTAATGATCCAATGGAATTAAATGCGGATGCAATTACAAATGCGAGCGGGGTTAAGGGCTGCGTTTATTGTGGCGGGCTTGGTCATCGTATCCATGACTGCCCCAAACTAGAGCATCATAAAAGAATGGCAATTTCCAGCTCTAGAAGGGATTACTTTGGTTCTGGTGGTTACAGAGGAGAAATATGATATTTTTGATATGTATGTAACTATATATATAAGCTGAAAGGGTGATGAAAGTTTTCTTTCTACTCCAACTTTAACACCCAATTTTTTTATAGTTCATCCGGTAATACGTAAGTATAGAGTGAATGTTATATGCTAATTGAGACCAAGTATATTTTTTTATATAAGAAGCTTGCAGTCTTTCTGAAACCAAAGCTACTTTCCCTATTTTAAAGGGAAAATAAGGATACCCAGTAAGTATAACAAAATAAAACAATTTTACACTGTAACCAAACAATAAAACCAAGGAAAATAAACAAACCAATATAATAGATATTCCAATATTTCTCTTCCATGACATATATAATGAAAAATAGATACAAACAAAATCTTGAAAAGCATTGAATAAACAAAACATTAAATTAATTAATAAAAAATTAAACAGCATTGAACGCCTATCATCTGGAATAACATCTATGTCATCAAGGTGGCCACTATCATCTGGAAAAGCATTTCCTCCAGCATTGAACGCCTTGGACTGGAAAACTTGCTTTTTAACTCATTTGCTTCTTGTTCAATCAACTGATTGAAATAAAAAAAATATAAAAACAAAATTGTAATTCAATTTGAACCATATGGAGGCAATTAAAGTATCTTCCCTATAAACAGTATGATAGTCATCTTAAGAACATTTAAGGGTAGATGAAAAAAGGTGAAAATGATGATACAAAGACAGCCTATGCACCCAATTTTTTTCCGTAACAGGTTTTTAAATCAACAAATGATCAACATCCCACTTCCAACCCAATTAAATGCATTCTACACTGCCTTAACAGGGGCGTGGCGCAGGAGGTCCGACCTAATCAAATGTGCACTTTTGAAAATAATATAATACAAAGAAGCGCATTGGAAAAAATTATCTGAAGGATTACAAAACAGAGTCTTAAAACTATGTACAATAATCAGAAGAAATATATAATACAAAAGTGTATAACTCAGTAGATTTATTTCAAAACATGGGGAAGAATTCAGACACATATATAGAAATACGGGAATCGATACGTATGTCTAAACATAATGTGTAATGAAAAATTCAGACACGAAACTGGGTAAGGTGTAAGCTGGGGAATCTTGCAACTAGAGTTATATATGGCTTCACAAGTTATTGTTAAGTTTTCAAATTAGAGCATTCAACCCAAAATCAATTGGCAATAGGAGGCCCATATTTCACGGCTTCAGCTTGGGAAACAGATCTTTGAACACAGTTGATTCGCTACGGAATACATTTAAGAAAAAGGAAATCAAAACACCAGGGTATGGACAGAATACAGATAAAAAAGTCTGCATTCCAGAGCTGATTTCAAAGAAAACCAAACCCTAGACATCAAGGAAATTTGAATAACAAAATTGGAAAACATGATTACATTCTGTTACTGAACTGGAACTCTCATCTACTCCCAAAAAAGCCTCGCTAAGTAAGGCATTAAATAAACCCTACTCCTACGAACCAAGTTCGAAAAAAATAACAGATTATTGGAAGGTTCTGATTAGTTAAACCATAAGC